GTTCCAATTTTTGATGCATAGTAGCCGGCTGGTAGCTTACCGGAACGATGCCCATCCGTTACCGGTAGCTTAGCCGGCTTGCCCCAGTTGAAGTTTTTTCTCTCCTTTTTTCTGTGTATTGCGGCACAGTAGCTGAGGTGTTCCCCACCTCTAGCTAACGTGTATGATGATGATGATGATGATGCTAGGTTCCAACTGGTTCACCGACCTCTTGGATATCCAGTGACTGGTGCGGTGACGATTGATAGTGCCACAAGCAGTTGCTGCTTCGTCGTGCATGGCGGCCGAAATCCTATTCCACTGAAGCTCAGTGTCATTAGGACAAGAGAGCAGAAGTTCGGTACGCAGTGTGTCTTTATAACCTTGTCTGACCGGGGGCTGAGGCAATTTCTCCGTTGCCAATCGGAGGAGACGCTTAGTGCGCCTCCCTGTAAAGTTCATATAGAAACGACAGGGTACTAGGGCATGATCAGAGTTGACACAGGTATTCCAGTACGAGCGGCAATCGAGGATGGAACCACGCCACCTGTAATATATGGCAATGTGATCTATTCGGGTCCATCGCTGGTCAGCTACAGAAGGATTCCAAGTGACACTTCAGCGCCCACTGTGTCTAAAAGCAGTGCTGCTAGGAAACAACTGGTGCTTGCACACTGTTGCAGCAGACGCTCGCCGTTGTCAGTCCGTTCAGAGTTAAGCCCATAATTACCACCCGGCTGAGTTTGTGAAGAGCTCAGACGCCCTACTTGTGCGTTCATATCCCCTGCAAGTACTATACTATCTGAACTAGTAACACTGCGTAATATCGTATTCAGTTCGTGCTAGCATGTGTCCTAGACAGCATTTAAATTGCAGCAATCACAATCAACCAGCGTCTTTTCCTGCTTCGTGAATCAAACTTAGTTGCTTTCGTCAAAAGGGCTGCACATAAACGGCTGTTCACCAGAATCCAGTCAACCAACAGTGGCTCAGTCTTGGAGCTTAGAGTGATACCTACACCAGCTTGACCCATGAGTGCAGCATCGGCGTCTCCGGTTGCGTGCAACCAATAGCGAGAGCTTAATCCGGGTGCAGTTAATACAACAACCCCACTAAGGTCATTGATCCTAGGTTCGGACACACAACACATGGATACCCGGTCTGTCCAGAGTGCGTGCGAGTGCAGCCTGTTGACCTGTTTGTCTTAGAGTGCGAACGTTGAACGCCGCGATGGAAAGGGGACAGCGTGGCCTTCTTAGGGGCTGTTGGCGATAGGTGTCCGATGGGTGTTGTGGGAAGGTGACTGCAGATGATTCTACTCCAGCGGCACTCCGGTTGTTGTCGGTTTAGCTGGGAATTATAGAGGGAAGGTTAGTAATGGGGGTCGGGATAGGAATGAGAGAAAGAGGTGGAAAAGGAGGAAGGGAGGCGCCAGCAGTAGCATGTTTTCGCTTATCCTCTCTGATGTATGCAACAGATAACTGGACCCTTGATGAGCTGCGCAATGACCGATGTAGGATGAAGTTTATGTTTGAAGAAGAAGTCATGGTTGTATGTGGGCGGAGATACTACCAGGGCGCTCAGACCTAGACAGGACGATTAGGGTCCTCAACCAAAGCCTTTGGCTCGGAGGTCTCTCCGCAAGTCAGCGGGGAGATGGGAAAGTTCAGAAAGAAAACTGCGTCACGGTCCAGGATAGGATCAATGACGTACTGAAATGGAGGAAAGTATAGTTGGAGTTATTGATCATGAGTGTCAACAAAGGGAATGAATTCGTTTGGAGGCAGCCCTTCTAACGCATCCAGTAACCTCTTGCTCTGTTACCCATCAGCAACTGTGACAATGCCCTCCAGGTATCCAGTAGGTATCCAGCTCCGGATCTTAATCGGTGGTTGTTATGTTACATCACATCGGGCTTTTATAACCGACGTACCCCACTGTCATATCTGCCCTCGGAACCCTCAGCCGGACTCATATTGCACACCGCATCCATTATTTTTCTGCTCATTGTAGTGTAAGTAGCACCATTTCGTTTTTCACTTCATTTAAATGTGAGTAGCCCACTCCCTGCTACCTCGGTGTCTTTTACTTGCCCATACTCGGATTGGAAACGGTGTTCAAAGAAATGTTGTTTGGGGAATTCGACATTTCTTCAGTCCTCGGCTGTGCACGCAACTGGCGAAAGGCACCAGATGCCGTCATCACGTCCTAGGCAAACTGTCCTACGTGCAGTGACTACTCAAACACCACACCCTATCCTCCCCGGGGTACAGGTCGTGGAGCTGACATGGACGTTTTGTCACGGGCCTCTTCACCAGTTAGACAAAAGATCAAGCGAAACAGCACTGCCCGTACTCTTCAGGTCAGTTTGAAACGTTTCCAAAACGATGAATCAAAGAAGCCAGAGCGTAAGACATACGCTGCAGTTGCTTCAGCATCGTCTGATAAGGAGCACCCAGTCTCAGTACCTGCGGCTAGGCTGACTGCTGTTCATGTATATTCAAAGACACGTGAGGTAAATACACCCTGTTGATGTGATTCATGGATAGCAGCGTAATATTCCGTAACGAGATGGAATCCTCTGCCGCCCTTCCTGCTGAACGCATGTTGGACGACCTTCATTGGTTTAAAACGCGTGTAGCGAAGCTTCTTCCGCCTGTGTTCCCCGACGCTGCTGTCGGGAAACTGACTAGACTGGCTAACGTCACAGTTAACGCGCCAAACCTTCGGACGCGCTTACTACGTGTGGTCCTATCCACCCCGAAGGAACACAACGCGCTGATGCAATTTGCTTTCAGATTAGAAGTGTACTGATGTTAGGCTTCAGCCAAACCTCCTGTTTGCCGATAGACCGAAGCAAAAAGAAGCCATCGTGGACCACAAAAGCAGGCGAGCGCCCGGTGAACGCGGTCTCTGATTGATAGCTTTTCATATGGTCAGCCGGCAGTCCTTTTCCGTCCTGTCGGTGCCCGTTCTGTGAGCCCACGATCAAGATCTGGACATTGCGAATGCCTTCAGATAGTGTTCAGTAATGTGCGCATCCTAAAGAATAAGATGTACGAGATATATCTGTTTTTAGATGGGTTTCATCTCGATATACACTGAAACTTGACGGTCTCATGTCATCACGGGTGATAAATTACATCTGTCTGGCTACGCTCTATTTAGATGTGATCACTTCGTTAGCCGGAAAAACAGAGGGCGTCGCGCTTATGTTAGCTGTGAGCTTGACGTTTTGCTTACCAACGTTTCATTCGGTAGACAACACTAAGCTCTGTCGGTAGTGATTAGCACCCCCTCCACTCGAATTAAAGTTGTGATTGTGTATATTAAGCCTTGGGAATGCATCGAAAGAATGCTTACATTTATTCGCTCTCATTCCGCAAACAGGTGTTGGGTTCTGGGTAAGTTTGCCGGGCAGATTTTTTTTGCAACGACGTCACGAAGGTCCTGAACAAACACTGCCGATATAAAATGTACCGAGCGCACTCCAACATACCGGAACTTCGTACAGAGACATCTGCTTCTAACCAGTAGTAATAATAGCAATAATAATAACAACAATAATAGTGATTTTACGTTAATTGGAAGATGTAAAACTCACTTCAGCTACTGTATCGCAACACAAAAATATGATATATATGGTAAAGGCGAGATGCCAAACACTACAGGAAACAATCTAAAAATAATAATCTAATATGACCCTTAAATCAAATTACGGATCAGATGTAAGAATGTGATTGGAGGTGAAAGCAGGAGGAGGGCAGACAAAGAAACAGCACAAACGCCATTGAGGCCAGCTCCTCGGCTTGTCAACAAGTGTATCTTACCAAACGTCTTCGTCGTCCTTCCGCTCGGCAGTCGGGAGACAAATGTACGTCAAGTTAAAAGCAAGGGATTTCATCCCTCTTGACCAAGTCATCTCATCCCTCTTCTATCCAGACCCCGATCTCGCAAACAACGCACGTCGCGGGAGCCAGTATGTTAGCATGCGCAACACGGCTCAGTCATTGGATCCTGGTGCGTTATATAACCTTTCTGAGCGGTTCACTCGCTCTTTTCGCACCAAACATAGGATGCCGAACACCTTCATTACTCACGCGGTCTTTTCACCAGCTGTGAGCTAAGCTACGAGCGCAGCCATTATCATCGAACCTAAATAGCCCTTTTATGTCTGTCCATCGGATAGGCTACGTTTCGCAACCGTACAGGAGGGCTGTACGCACGGTTACATTGTAACCTCTACCCTTCAGAGCCGAGGGTGATGTAGCGCTGACGCCACAGACGGCGGGGATTGGCAAAACACCTCGGGTTCGTGACCTTATCTATTCCCCAGTCGCTAATAAAGCTGCTGAAATTTTTGGCTTTATGAACAACTAAAACTGATCATCATCATCATCAATACACGTTAACCGAGAGTGAGAAACCCACCTCAACTAATGTGCCGCAAACAAACAAGATAAAAGGTTAAACATTACAGGTTGCAAAAGCTAAAGCTGTAACATAATTCTAAAATCACATTATGCATTGAGTTGAAATCGTTGTTGGAAGGTTATCTAAAGGGGAGGAGAGGGGCAATGAGACACACAATAGGACAAAGGGATTCCCCATCTACGGTCAGCGCAGGAGTGGGTTCCTACCAATCTTGAAGAACTTTGCATTTCGAAGGTGCAAAGCATAGCCCAAAGCGATTGACAGCTAATGCTAATTTATCCAGTGCTGTTTGGCACGTTTAAGAGCCGTCACAGATGAGGACAGTGTCGTCGGTGTACTCTAACTCAAGCATTCGATCACTTTTATATAAAACCGGCCCATAGCCTGTAAGTAATGAGCTTGTCTCATAATCTTGCGATGCGGGTTCGAATCCGCATAGGGGTGGGTGTCCTCACGGTATACTCAGCTCGCGTGCGACTGGTAGTTGTCGCGCGCCAGCGAACCGCCGTTATAGCCTATAGCTGACACAGAAAATCTGATATTAACATTACTGTGCTTTGTTTTAAGCTAGTGCCTTCCTCTTTTCAGCTAACTGAATTATTCCTTCACTCGAACAACTGCACACAAAATAATGACTGTGATTGGTACTCTGATCACTCCTCCTGGTTATCATCGTTCGTGGCGCGCCCTGATCGCCGCCAAGTACAGTGGCGTCAGTGTTAACGTGAAAAATTTTATTCCTGGTGTAACGGACGCCGGTGCGGATTTTCTAATCAAGTTTCCTTCTGCCACGGTTCCCGTATTCGAGGGCCACGACGGCACTTGTCTTTTCGATGCGAATGCTATTGCGTTTTTCCTCGGAACAGATGAACTACGAGGTTGTTAACATTTTTTAAATCCTTATCTGTTGTATATAGGAGGCAAAAACGAACATCTTGTCACACAGTGGGTGAATTTTGCCGATAATGGCATTCTTCCCGCTGTCGCAACCTGGGTCTATCCTTGTTTGGGTGTTACTCAGTATAATAAACAAAACACAGAAAAGGCGAAGACGAATCTGCGTTCAGTTATGGCTTACCTGAACAATATTTTTCGCCACACGTAAGGCCGTTTACCGTTAGATTCTTACTTCTAGAACCTTCCTCGTCGGCGACCGTTTATCTCAAGCAGATATCACGGTATTCACAGTCTTCCATCCATTGTTTACATATGTTCTGGATGAGCAAAATCGAAAACCCTATCCTCATTTGGTTCGTTGGTTCATGACAGTGGCAAACCAACCAAACGTTATTCAAGTGGTGGGGGAAGTTAATCTCTGCGTCAAAGAAGCTCATTTCGATGCTCAAAAGTACGCAGAGTTACACCCAAAAGTGAGTCTTTACGTTCGATGTCCACAATTATTATGAAGCAGGACGCTAAGAAATCGAAACACGAAGAAAAGACTCAGAAACAGACCAAGGTTGAGAAAACTGAGAAGCCTCTTGATGAGATGGAGGATGAAGAAGAACCAAAACCTAAAAGCAATAATCCGTTCGCCAGTTTGCCCGAAGGAACATTTGATTTAGAAGCATTCAAACGCATCTACTCAAACGAGGATATCGAAACTGTTGCCATTCCATATTTTTGGAGTCATTTTGACCCTGCAACTTACTCACTATGGTATTGTGAATACAAATATCCGGAGGATCTGGGCATGATATTTATGTCTTGCAATCTCATCAGCGGAATGTTTCAGCGTCTTGAAAAGTAAGTGGCCACACTGCTTTTTATTTATCGTCTGGCTGAGATCTGAACTTATAAACCTGACTACTGCTACCGCCTCATTAACACAGACGTCCAAGTAAACGCAATGCCAGTTATCATTCATGTGTAAACTTCCAGCTCACTTTGATGTTCGACACTTTCGCTTATTTCATCGGCGGACCTTTATCGCTGACTAGTGATTCTTCGTGGATATCGTCTAATCCGTTTATATTTCCCCGACTTCTCACTTTTACGTAACTATGTCAATATAGACTATTCCAACTTTCTGCATCTTTTCACCGAACAATGAATCGCTTTTATTTGGCCAGTCTGATTTGACATAGCCTGGATCATTCAGTTCTTGTTGATCATCACTAATGTAATGAGTGAGTTTTGTTCCACTTAATGCGCCTACCAACGTTTTTCTGAAATTTCTAACGACAAAGCGTTACCGTCGCTATCGACTATTTCTCCTCGGACTTGTGGTGTAACAAGGCTTTATTTTTTAAATTCCCTAACATGTGGTATGTTTTGCACTTGTAGGATGTTGAAATTTGGATTCGCCAGTATGTGCATCTTCGGGGAGGCCAAAAATAGCACTATCAGTGGTGTTTGGTGCTGGAGAGGTACAGGACTGGCTTTCGAACTACATCCTGATTTGCAAGTGGATTACGAGAGTTACTCCTGGCGAAAGTTGGATCCAGACGCCGAAGAGACAAAGACGTTGGTTCATGACTATTTCCTACAGAAGTTCTCGGATAAACCGTTCAATCAAGGCAAGATCTTCAAATAGACTACTGTGGTTATAAATACACTTATGGTTCAACATTGGTTTTCTTGTTTGTGTAACTCGTTCCCGAAAATAGAGTAACATTGATGATACTACCACCGTCGGAATCAGCCTGATGATCACAGACTGATTCCACCATTTGTTGGCGAATTTTGTCCAGCATCAACTACCATGACCAGTACCTCATCCAGATGTTTCACTGTTACACAGACGCAAACGCTCTGTGAGGCTTGGCTATGGTCAAAACACCGAAGCCTAGGCGCGACGACTTCGCTCAGTCGTTTTCTCATTTTATGTGATACCGGCTGTCTCGTCACTTTTGACGCCTGAATAAAACCGCCCACATATAGCTTGGTTTACTCATTTTTGCTACATTTCATCACCTTTAATCCTCCTCGATTCTCTTCCATCGCTTGTTCTTTGCAGTCCAGTCTGTGAGACGTGCCCACAATTTCAGCATCTGTGCAGTTATCGGTTTTCTTGAAGTATCAACGTACTGATGTTCCATACTCACGCAGCTATCGAACTAATTGTCCCTACACTATTCGTTTCACACGCCCGGATCTACTAATTCAGCAACCACAGGTCAGGTCCGAGTGGGCATCGTTCACAGCTCCGGTGAACAGTCATGCACGCGCAAACCGTTTGCTAACGTCAGCTTAGGTTGACGCGCAGAGCAGAACCGAGCGCTGTTTTTTCTTTGCCGAATATTTTTCGATCCACTACGATTCTGATGCTTCCAGAAGCTTCTCATTGGATGGTCCCTAACCTGGGAATTGAGAGCACCCTACCAATGTGAACTCGTGGTCTGACACATTTACATTTCTGGCTCGAGCGATGCGTTGGTTATCTTTCCCTGGACTCTACTTGTATCATTTTGCGCATACAGGGCGCATTGGTGTGACCACTCAACAAGCATGTCTAAGTCACTAAAACCTGTGCGTTGAAGTCATGCTAGTCAGCAGTTTGTTTGAGTTGAAAATCGACTAATAAACTTCAACATTACTGATGTGCTATTTGCAGTCGTTCACCATCAGTGCTCCATGAACACCGCAATCAAACACAGTGATTCTCCAAACATTTTATCTTAAATAGATTGTTTCACAATCTTCAAACAAAATTTCGCACTGTGACCTTGTTGGCTTAATCTTTCAGAGAAAGAAAGAGCCTGTGCCCACATCAGCGCCGAAGGTAGCATAGATTAGCAAAAACAACCCGATTTTCGAAACTAAGTGGTGCCCTGCTAAAACCGATAATTTAGAGGTGGTTTTGGACCATTTACTGTACCTGTTGACCCTTTATATGGCAGCTCGTTAACCGGGTAATGTTTCATGGGCCCTCGGAATCTTCGCCAAACTTGAAAACCCTTGGCGACCAGGTAACATAAGCTTCCGATATGTTCTAAGACGATTTAATTCTGAAACCCATAACCTTGGGGGTTACTCATCTCTTTGTTGCGGAAGCAAATGTTTGGTAATCTTACGACTGCTAACTTTGGCTTTGATTCGACGTCGTAAGAGCTTCTTTGGAAACCGAGAGGAGAACCATCTTGCTCCAAAGCGTCGTCACTGATTTTCCGCGAACATTTATTTGCTTCATCTGCAAGGCACACGATATCTATTCATATTTCTTTATTTGCTTCCCCCTTCATACGAAAGGCATACCTTGATTCCGAACCTGTAGACGCGCTTAACACCGTGCAGAAACGCTGCAGCGGACTAACGGCCTTTTCACAACACGATCAGCAGTTTTTAGGTTTTTAGCGATTTTCATTTCAACCTAGGTGTGCTCGATAGTGCAATGTTTGGTAGTCTCCAGCCACTGATCTGGACCATCCCTGGAACCCCATTTACGAACACGGCACCAACCTGACCAAGTTTCTCGGTCATTTTCTTCATGCCCTTAAGCCACGGCGGGCTACACAATTTCGCCCAACATGGTGCAGCCACGGTGTATAATGCACGCCGAAGTAGTCGGCACCAACTGACAGACCTCAACATTGCTCACCCGGTGTTCACACCAGACATGAGCAATCCTCCGCAAGCACCGGTGGTCAAACACTGCGAACTGACCAGGTCTCCGATCCATACACTAACACTGGCCTTACCGCTGCGTTGTGCACTCAATCTTTCACTAACAGGCTGCTATCCTTCTGCCTCCATAAATAGTTGAGCTTCTGGAAAGCCACGCTGGTCTTGACGCTACGCAAAGTAACTTTCAATGGCTGTTCGGTGATGGCCAGAATCGTTGGTCCATCAGCCAGGTCCTGCAATAACACCTTGCATTTTGAAGGTGCAAAGCACATGCCGAAGCATGCAACACTGCGCTTCACTCAATGTAAGGGCGCTTGCATATCCACCGCGTCGGGTCCAAGGAGAGCTACGTCGTCTGCATTCTTCATGTTTATCAGTCGGTCATCTAGCAGAACTTCCACTCCGGTAGAATAAAGGAACCTACTGATTCATGATCATTTCGATCACGAAGTTGAAGAGGAATGAAGATATAGGATAACCCTGGCGAACCCCACTTGTCGTCGTGAACTCAAGGAACAGTTTCCAGTAGACCCTTACACGGTGTCGGGAGTCACGGTTGAGCGACTTCAGAAAGGAAAGGAATTTAACTGTTACACCCTTCATTGATAGGCAGTGCCACAAGCTGGCGCGGTCAACAGAGTCGAAGGCGGCTTTATAATCAAGGAAAATCACCATAATCGGTCGCCTATAAGTGTCTTTGTTATAACACTTGACGGAGAGTAAATATATGGTCGATGCAACCACGACCAAGTCGGAACCCGGCCTAGCTTTCACCGAATAGGCTTTCACGAGGACCAATAAGTCGTCGGAGTATCATTCCCGTGTGAAGTTTGGAGACAATGGAAACAAGACTAATGCCTCGATGATTTTTGCATAAGTGCGCTGACTATTCTTGAAGATGGGCACGACAGTTGCCAGTCCTCAGTCTGAAGACATCTTTTCAGTGTCCCAAGTCTGATCAATAAAAGGTCACCTTCATCTTTCTGCCAAGATGGAGGAATGTCGGCGAATCTCTTCCCAAGTGGGGATGTGTGACATCAACATCCCACTTGGGATCAGATGCTTCAGCAAGCATCAGTGTTGCGCCTGCTGAACTGCCGTCTAACCGGCTAGTCGGCGATGCTGAGAGTGGATCGACGGTCCCTCATTTTCAGTTATTGCCTCTCTACTGATGATTTTCTCGGATCCGTGTTCAGGATAAGCTAGAACAGTACTCGGCTTTTCCCAATACCACTGTGTTTCTCCGTCTCACGTGCTCTTGCTACCCACCAACGTTGCCGGTTAATTCTAAGCTTCCTCATTACTCGTCTTTTCAGGGCGTTAGGGACACGCTGAAACTCAGTACCCATTGACACCCGTTTCCGTGCTTCGATCAAACTGATTGACGCCTCAGAGATCCCTTCACTGTTAAAACGTCTCAACTTGGGTGTACAGTAGGTGTCAGAAGTATTATTCATGGCACACTTGAGACGATCCTAGTCAGCATTCGGCTCACCAACCTCATTCACCACGGACAATTACTAGACCAGTTCGTTGTGATATTGTTGCATTGTAGATTGCGAGATCAAGTTACATGTAAGTAGATTGGAAACTATGTCAAAGTAGGTTTTATGAAACGGCTTGGGAATATTTTCCGCATTGGGCACTCGCACTGCGGATTTAATGAGGCGTAACATTGGCATGAAGTTGCAATCTAAGCATATAAAGGCGCATTTTGCATGTGCATCACTCAAGCAAACGTTCCCATAGTGATGATAAGTTCGGAGTTCACCAGAAAAATAAATACAGCAATACAGAGTTATGGTGAGATGTTGCGCGCGAAACCCAAACCACGAGTAGGATAGAGCTTGAAAAATCAGCGTAAAGTGGGTGAAAAGTCTTTTTAAAAATCTTTTAATGAAAAGTTGCCACACGAACCAAAATGCTTAGTAACGATGAAGTCAACTAGTGACTGGGCAATTCAGTATATCTGGAAATGGGCTTAATGGAACGCATAATCATTGTGCAATATTTTTTGTAGAAGGCCAAGAAAAATGATAGGCAAGCAATATGGCCATTGAGGAAGAATACAGGCAATTACGAGTTTGTAAATTAAAGAGCAGGGTACTGAAAACATTTTGAATCTCAGGAGTGTTTCAAGGTGTCTTGACTAAGATAGATTATGAGATAAATGTATGCCGATACTTAACTGTGGATGAACTAGTATGTTATCGTTTACCATCATGGGACGAGAAGTGTTTGCCAAAGTCAGATGTTTTTCATTGTGGAGGAAGGAGAAAGATACATCGCGGCATTTAGAAACGCTGAAAATAATTGACCAGGATGACGACCACTGATGAATCACATGAAACCCACTTTGGAGAGTTGTTTATGCTTTACAAGTTGGAGCAACACTTCCTAGAACTACGTCTGCTTATTTGCATCCAATAACGTTGGGAGGAATTGGAGGCATTTCGATGTGTAAAGAGAATAGTAGAGAGAGGACTGCTCCTTGGAAGACGCTCCAGCCATTGGGAAGATTGGGGGACCTTCTACTTTCTAGCTGGGTGAAATGAGAGCGATTTACGAAGTAGTTGCTCATCAGGTTGCACCTTGCTGGTTGAACACTACTTGCAGACAACTAGTTAAGCAGGATTGACATGGCGACACTTCCGAAAGCCTTGGTGTAATCAAGGAAAAGGAGCCTCACAGTCGCATTTCACATCCAATGAACATGCTGTTTTATGAACAAGATATCCTATGGCATGCAACCTGGAACACCGGGGTCGGTACACTAAGTGAGGTACCTCCACAGCCGGATTGCTTGTTGAAGTCCAAGACGCAAGGAGTCGCTCGATGATTCAGCGTGACGCAAGTACAGGCAATCAGACGAAATTTCATCGGACCCTTTTTTGGCACGGGCGTTCTCCTGACAGACCTGAAATGTCGGAAATAATTCCACCTTGTAGACGCCGATTGAAACAATCTGTCATTTGCATGGTTCAAGAGCATCAAGCTGACT